CGCTCTTGTTGTCTTGAGACCGTTATCACATTGATTACATGAGAGAGAGCCCCCTCCATGTTGACCTGGCACCACCCTCATCTTGCTAGCCACCTCGATGAACCGTCTTGATAGCTAGGCCATATTACCTATCTAGGCAAGATGAGAACTTGGCCCATTTACCCACCAAGTCTCCACACTTAGTCTTAGAGAGCTTGTCATGACACCAACTTGTCATCTTTGTATCAAGCCAATCTTGTCAACTTGATACCACTTGATACCCTCTGCCTTGCCCTGTCGGTAAGCCGCTCTTACCATCTTACTAGCAAGTCCGTCCCAACAACTTGGTACCTTGTTGTCTCTCCGTATTGATACCCTCTACTACCAAGCCAGTCATGTCGGCCCCTGCCACCAAGCCAGCACCGTCTTCTTGGTCTTCATACTTAGTTTTTAGAATCTTATCAAATTGGTACATTGTGGCCCTGCCGACTTGGTACCCCGTTAGGGGGCCACCAACCCCATCTTGGGGATTAGTCTCCATATGGTCCCCTAAGGGGCTCTACACCGAGTCTTCATCATATTGACACCCTTAGCTCAGCACCCTGGCCGATCCATCCATGGTTGCTTGATACCCCAGTCGGGTGGCCACCTCAGCTAGCCACCTTGCTTTAGTCAAATTTCTTGTCTTATTGGTTTTGTATCATGATGCCTAGCTATCAAGCCAGTCTTGTCGGCTTGATATCCAGACTTAGTTTATGTATGACTCTCTTAGTTGGTACCCGGCTTGATACCCCCTTGGTGTCTTGGTACTAAGCTTATCTTGCCTACTTGGTACCCGCTTGCTTGGCTACCATGCTCCTATTGTTTCTATACTTAGCCAAATTCCATGTCTTCGTCTTGTTTGGGCCCCTGTTGCTGTGGGTGGCCTGATACCTTATTAGCTCCATACTTAGCCAATTTCCATGTTTGGGTATCAGGCCTGCCTTGCCGACTTGATACCCTCTAGGGGTTTTGGTAATGAGGCTTCCTTGTTAGCCTGGTACCCCCTTAGCTCCATACTTAGCCAAATTCATGGTTTTCATGTCTTGATATCAAGCCCTGCCTTGCCGGTATCACCCATTATGGCCCCCTGGCCATTGAATTTCATACTTAGTCAATTTCCATACTTGGGTACCAGCCCTGTCTTGCGCACTTGGTAACCCGTTGTGCCACCTTGTTTCCTTACTTAGTTGTCCCAGTCCTAAATAATGATGACTATATCGCCCATTCTTCTAGGGTCATTGACATGGGCCCACAACTACTAGAGCAAGGCCACAATGAAAATAAGGTGTGCGGTGATGATATAGTGGTACGCAGGCCATTAAGCCCATCATCAGAGCCAATTAATAAAGTCCATCGTTTGCATTCTAGCAGAAGCCCAATTCGTGGCTTCAACCAAGTGATGGAGTCGACAAGCCCATAAGGGGTGCAAGTTTTTCTTTCTTAGATACTTTTATCTCTATGGAGCTAAACATATGTCTGTGGAATATAAGAGGAGCAGGTAGTGATAAAGCACTATCTTTGATTATGGAGTTGAAGCGCATCCATCGTGTGGATCTCCTTGTTCTGCTTGAGCCGCAACTTTGCGGTGAAAACGCAACCAAAATAATTTTAAAATTTCCTTTCTCCAAATCCTGCTTATCTGAAGCGAGATGAAGGTCGGGCGGGATTTGGGCTTTTGGGATGAGGAAAACCTTTTAGTTTCTAAGTTGGCGGTGCTACCTTTTTCTATCCATCTTCTCATTCATCTGCTAGCTGCTATTAGCGAACATGAAAAATTAGGGTTATCGATCTGGCTGAGTTGCGGACTAGGTCGCTCTCTTTAAGACGTTCGCAGCATTGCCTTGTAATGCGCACATCAAACTATCAGTCGGTCGCCTCCATGATAAAACAGTCACTCTGATTTTGTTGCTCATTGTTTTTGTGCGAAAACCGGAGCTCTATGAACCAATTCTCTCTCATGTTTCTGCTCTTCTTAGGTGTATTAAAAGGTCTAGGGGTCTGCTATTTATAGAAGCAAAAAACCTAGAATATTCCCTCTTTCTTTGGGAATAAGCCACATTTTAATTAGGAAGATAATTACTCCCATAATTAAAATGCATTATATTAAGATAATTAATCCTAATTATCTCCATAATATTCCTTTTATTAATTATCTATATTATTATCATATCTAGAAAGAATAGTGGATAATTAATTCAATATAGCTTTCAAAGCTATTCATTCCCAACAATCCCCGACTTGAATAGTTTTGAAACTATCTCTGAGCATCAACAAATCCATAAGATCAAGTATAAGCTAAGGTATCGCGAAGATTTGAACCTTAGCGTAGTGGTTACACTTCCGATTTCATAAGGGTGACTCGTAGTCTTCAACCTTATCTCAGACAATGTAGCACACCAGATCTTTTCATTGGGTGATATTCTCTCATAGGCCGTGTGTTTATGGCCATGCACGTTATCCCGGTTTAGTGAACGCTCTAGCAACTTTGTGCCTCCAAAGTTCCATAGGAAGCTGTCCCACTACCACATTCACATAGGTGAGTCTATCAGAAGTACCCCCAAAGTAAAGTACTTCACTCCACATAGAGTATAGATCTCATTAAGAGTTTAACTCAATCTTCAAGGCTTTGTGATTCATGCCTCACTATGAATGAAATTTTCTCAATATTACTCATGACTTGTTATTACCCATTGAACCCATTTCTTGGGATCTCCAGTCTATCGGGTCGGGTTACCATCACTTGTAATTCATGGTTCGGTAGGCATAAGTCTCATACCCTTCGTGATATTTTGGACTTTTTCTCTACCTAGTCCTTTCGTCAAAGGACCATCTAGATTCTTTTATAATCTCAAGTTCATCCTTTCGTTAAAGGATAAACTAGATTCTCTTTTAAGTGATCCACCCTTACTGCTCCAACACTTAGGGACTATCTCTTCCAGTACAAGGACAGTCTGTTACCTCTTCCTGAACTTCGTAAATGGTAACATCGCTTTCTTCTCAATTTCCTTGTGTACTTTGCTTCTTCTTTCAGAACCTTTTTGTATGAAAAAATCCAGTACTTTGGTCGCTCACCCTCAGCCAATCAGCTAGTGACTGCTGCGTCGGTAGTAACGCCTCTGCTTTGTTAACTGTCGGATCACCCTTCCAGGACTCAGCAGTTAAAGCTTTGAATACTCATTGAGCTGTGTGGCCTTGAGCTTGTGCAAGGTCTGCCTCCCTACTATGCATATCAAGTATTTATTGTCGTTGTCCTGCCTCATAATCCATTCCTTTTTTCTCCGCATACATGGTGGGAGTCGAGATCTTTGTTTCTGTAGGGGACGGTTACTACGACAACACCCCTTGTGTTGTTATAGTGACAATACTAGTCTTCCATCAATGGGAAGGTAGGGATGTGATGACTTTTTATTAGTTGAGTTGACCTAGTGTAAAATCAAAGCAGGGGTATAATTTTCATTATGAAAATATGTTTAAATAATAATTAAAAAAAATCATTTTCTGCCCAAAATTTTGGTCGCCGGAATTCGCCCACCGGTCGCCGAAATCTGGTCGCTGGTCACCAAAATATGCTTTTTTGTCGCTGGAATATGTTATTTTGTCATCGGAATATACCACCGTTGTCGGAATATGCTCACCGTGGTCGGAATATGCTTATCGGCGTCGGAATCTAGTCATCGGGGCCAGAATATGCCTATCGGCGCCGGAATCTACTCACTGACGGTCATCGAAGTTCAGTCAACGAACTTCGTTGACCGGTCAACGGTCAACGACCACCGGATGTTATGGTCTGCATTGTGAGATTTATGGTTTGGTTTCTCATATCTTTGTATGCCTTTTGTGGTTTGCTTTATCGTGTTTATGGTTTGCATTGAGAAGTTTCTGGTTTACTCTAAAAAATTTTGTGGTTTGCATTGAGGGGTTTCTGGTTTGTTTTAATTTTTTTGTGGTCTGCATTAGGACGTTTCTGGTTTGCTTTTTTGTGGTTTGATTTACTGTGTTTGTGGTTTGCATTAGGAGGTTTCTGGTGTGCTTTCGCAAATATTGTGGTTTGCTTTGTGAGGTTTGTGGTTTGTTTTAGGAGATTTGTGGTATGCATTAGGAGGCTTCTAGTTTGCATAAAGAAGTTTATGGTGTGCTTTCAAAACTTTTATGGTTTGATTGTGGAGTTTCTGGTTTGTTTTAATGGATTTGTGGTATGCACTAGGAGGTTTTTGGTTCGCTTTTTTGTGGTTTGCTTTACCGTGCTTGTGGTTTGCATTATGAGGTTTTTGGTGTGCTTTTCGAAATTCTTGTGGTTTGTTTTGTTATGTTTATGGTTTGTTTTAGGAGATTTGTGGTATGGATTGAGAGTTTTTTTGTTTGCTTTTTATGGATTGCAAATCTGCCTAGACCAATACTCGAATCAAATTAGAATGAGATCGCGAATATAATTCAACTCGGTTTCGATCATGACCACTATTGACTTTAGATTGAGAAATATCAAAAATAAAGAGACAAAGTGCATCGCATTAGAAACATTATTGTTTTATTAAAGTCTGGCTGAACCATACCATAGCAAACAAAATTCACATATAGCGTTGTGTCTTATTAACCCAAATCTTCCATAATACCAAAAAAAAAAAAAAAACGAAAACTGCTGCTGAAATTAACAAACTCAAAGCTACGAGGCTTAAACTTGAAGATTGGTTTTGAAAGTGATCCGTCTATCTTAATTAAGCAGCAAGCATAGCAGTCCCACTTCACGGCTTTCTTCAATAGGCTCTCCTCTTCCAGCACCATTTGAACCGGCCTTGCATCATCTGCCTCGTCTCGGCCATTGCCATTGCCAACATCATCTGCCTCGTTTCGCCTGCGATTCCTTCTATCTTCGTTGTTGTGTTCTTTGATGATGGCGATTGGCGATCGATTATCCCAAGACCCGAGTAGTTAATATCTTCAGGTAGTGGCCAGAGGGCCGAGCGCAAATTGGGTTCTCCTTGATGGGTCGTCTTCTGCAAGCCCAAATAGTCGTCATTGCCAACATCACCTGCCTCGTCTCGGCCTTGAACTCCTCGAGATCCACCGTCCCATTCGAGTCCGAAAAGGTCGAGAATCTGCTCGCCGCTGCAAGCGTGGTACAGGCCGTCGGAGATGCTCTCCTGACACCCAGTTGCCACATCTGTTTCTGGCAGCCGCGCATCTCCTCGACGGAGTCGTCGAAGATGGAGAGGCAATCCTGGAGGGCCGAGGATGCGTGATTGTCAAAGCCGTAGTCGGCCAATATCAGGGGATAATTCGACAAATTTGAATTTCCCCCTTGCAGATCAGACACAAGGAAGGAGGAAATGGAGTGACGTCGTTTCTAACACAGCCTAAAGACTCGGCTATAACGACAGCGTTCAACTGGAACGGCAAACTTCACTTTTAGTCCCAATATTACATTTTTACTACTTTTCCTGTTTTGGTATGTACTTGCATCAGAAGCAAGCTTGTCTTGTAATGCTACTTTGAACCAGCTATATATGCTGCCAAATCCAATGAAATCAAACAAGGGCTTTCACTTTCCCACAACACAAATTGTTGTTATGGTATCAGAGCCTAGGAATTGGAAACCCTAGCCGCCACGAGCATCCATGGCTACATCACAAGCTAATGCTGCAGCAGCAGCTATTCCACCCCCACCTGCACCAAATCCTGATCCCATGGCTGATCCATTCTACCTACATGGGTCTGAACAACCAGGGCTCGTTCTTGTTGCAGAAAAACTCACCACCATCAACTATAATGATTGGAGCAAGGCAATGCACAATGCCCTTGGAGCCAAGAACAAGCTTGGTTTCATAGATGGCACACTTGCAGAGCCAGCACCTGATCATCCGACAGCCTGGGCTTGGGCGAGAAACAACATCATGGTGCTCTCCTGGCTACAACAGGCAGTCGATCCAAGCATCAGGAAGACCATCATGTCCATTCGGAAAGCATCAGAGGCCTGAACTAGTCTTCGAGCTCGATATGGTCAGGGAGACATGGTTCGGGTTGCTGAACTCATCGAGGCACAAGCTGTCCTGAAACAAGGTAACCGCTCTGTGACTGACTACTATGGTGATATAATTGCATTAAGGGATGAACTCGACAACTACCAACCCTTAGATCCATGTACCTGCACACCAACCAGTCACAATCAGTGTCGAGCTATGCAACAAGTTCATCTATATCGAGACACTAACTCTGTTATACAGTTTTTAAGAGGACTGAATGACAACTATAGCACTGTAAGATCCCAAGTTCTCTTTGGAGATGCTTTACCCTCCATTGACAGAGTCTTTCAGAGGGTTCTCCAACATGAAAGACAACTGTATGGTACTTCCCAAGGCAAACCCGTGTCTCCTGAACCTATGGCCTTAGCATCATCCTCTCAGATCCCTGCCAACAAAAAAGGCAAACCATTCTGCACTCACTGCAAGGCTCAGGGACACACTGAAGATGTGTGCTTTCACAAGCATGGGTGGCCTCCAGGGATGAACCCCAAAGGCCAGCATCCATCAGGCAGATCCCTCGAGTGCACTCACTGCAAAAAGCTTGGCCACACTGAGGATAAATGTTTCTCCAAACACGGTTATCCTCCCAACATGGCTGGAACTGGAAGAGGCAATCCTAGATCCAAGTCTTATGCCAACTCTACTTCTACAACTGAGACCACTGACACTCAAGAGGAGTTCAAGCTGACTAAAGCTGATTATGAGAAGTTGATGAAGCTGATGCACACTAAGCCTCAGTCCTCTACTGGCTCAGCCTTCTCAGGTGCTGCTTTCCTTACTAGCACGACTGACACTCAAGGTAAATTCTCACTCAGTACTCCTGTTGTCACTCCTTACAATGAAGCTTGGATTTTGGACACAGGGGCTTCAGACCATATAGTCTGTTCCCTTACACATCTTACCAACCATAGGCAGATCCACCATGTCTATATCACTCTTCCTACTGGCCAACAAGTCCAAGCAACACATATTGGAACTGTTAGTTGTTTTGACAACTTAACACTAGAAGGGGTTTTGTTTGTCCCAGAATTCAGTTTCAACCTTGTGTCAGTCAGTAAACTGACCAAGAACAAGTCTCTTTGTTTGACATTCTTCTCTGATGTATGTTTGATCCAGGACATGCAGCTGAGGAGGATGGCTGGTTCTGCTAAGCTCTCTCATGGTCTTTACCTCTTTGACAACCCCAATCTAGACAGTAGCCCTAAACACATCACAGCTGCTAGCACTCAAGCTTTTGACCTTTGGCACTTTAGACTAAGACATGTTTCTCATTCCAAAGTTCCCCTTTTGAAACAGCTATGTACATCCATAGAAACATACAAGTCCTTGCCATGTGATGTCTGTCATTTTGCTCGACAGAAAAGACTTCCATTTCCTACCAGTTCAACTGTATCTACTAAACCATTTCAGTTAATACATGTTGATATTTGGGGTCCCAATCCTATTCCTAGTCATGATGGCTTCAATTACTTTCTAACTATTGTTGATGATCATACAAGAATGACATGGATCATTCTTCTTACTGCCAAGTCAGAAGCTAGACCAAAATTACAAAGCTTTTGCACTTACATTGAAAGACAGTTTGAGGAACCAGTTAGAACTATCAGAGGTGATCAAGGTAGGGAATTTCAAATGACTGATTTCTACAATCAAACTGGAATCTTTCATGAACAGTCATGTGTTGAGACTCCACAGCAAAACAGCAAAGTGGAACGAAAACATCAACACATTTTAGCAATTGCTAGAGCCCTTAAATTTCAAGCTAATCTTCCTCACTCTTTCTGGGGAGATTGTGTCAAACACTCTGTCTACCTCATCAACAGAGTCCCTACTGTTGTTCTTGACAACCTCACCCCATATGAAAAGCTTTATAAGAAACCTCCAGACCTTACTGAACTAAAAGTCTTTGGTTGCTTATGCTTTGCTAGCACACTTAGCAACCATAGATCAAAGTTTGACCCTAGAGCTAGGAAAGGTGTCTTCTTAGGATTCACCCCTGGTATCAAAGGTTATCGAATTTATGATCTCACCACCCATGAAATCTTTACCTCTCGTGATGTTCAGTTTCATGAAGATCACTTTCCCTTTCACACTACTTCTGCTACTGAAACTGACTTACCTGCCAACATAAACCACAACCCCTCAGATCCTACACTGTTTGATGACCCCAGTCCAACCTATCAACCTTCCCCTCAACAAAATCCTCCTATAGACTCTGACTCAGACTCAGATTCTACCTCACCTCCCACTTCCTCAACAACATTACCTACACCTCCACCACCCCCACCACCTAACCCCCCTCCCACTCGAAAGTCAACCAGGGTCATCAAACCACCCTCTAAACTTCAAGCCTACCACTGTAATCTCCTACAGCAGAGCAGCAACACCAGTCATTCTCCCCAACAGCATAATCCAGGTATCTCTCATTCTCTGAGTTCTGTCATTCACTATGATAACTTGTTGTCCTCTCACAAATATTTTGTGTTGAGCATTTCATGCCACAAGGAACCAGCAACCTATAAAGAGGCTATCCTCTCACCCTACTGGTCAGCAGCCATGGATGTTGAAAAGGAAGCTCTTGCTAAGAACCATACATGGGACATAGTTGAGAAACCTGAAGGAGTGAGACTGGTTGGCAACAAATGGATCTATAGATTGAAGTTTCTCTCTACAGGCATCATTGAAAGACACAAAGCACGCCTAGTTGCTAAAGGATACAGCCAACAAGAAGGGGTTGACTATCAGGACACTTTTGCACCTATAGTCAAAATGACCACAATTCGCCTCTTCTTGGCAATTGCAGCTTCTCAAAAATGGCACATACACCAACTAGACATCAACAACGCTTTCCTACATGGGGATTTAGAAGAAGATGTCTACATGAAACTACCAAATGGATACACTGCTCCCCCTGGCTTCAAGAATCCAGTTTGCAAACTTAGAAAATCCCTATATGGTCTCAAGCAAGCATCTCGTCAGTGGTTTGCTAAATTAGCAGAAAAACTTCAAACAAAGGGTTATGTCTCCAGCAAGGTAGACCATTCACTCTTCTACAAAGCTACTTCTACATCCTACACCTGTGTTCTGGTCTACATTGATGACTTAATTGTTGGTGGAACTAATCTCAACGAGATCACCAACCTCAAGGCCTTCTTACACCAAGAATTCAGCATCAAAGACATGGGTGATCTACAGTTCTTTCTTGGTATCGAAGTTGCAAGAACTACCTCTGGTATCCACATTTCACAGAGGAAATACACTCTCGAAATAATAGAGGAGGCAGACCTGCTCAACTCCAAGCCAGTTAGCACTCTCATGGACTACAAATCACATCTCTCATCCCACGATGAAGACCCCTATTCCAACCCTGAACACTACAGACACTTGGTTGGCAAACTCATCTACCTTACAACAACGAGACCAGACATCAGTTTCGCCACACAACAGGTGAGCCAATTCATGTCTAACCCTACAAATGCACATTACAAGGCTGTGACAAGGATACTTCGTTACCTCAAGCATGCTCCATCGACTGGTCTCTTCTTCTCCTCCGCTTCCTCTCTCCAACTGACAGCCTTCAGTGACTCTGATTGGGCTTCGTGCGTCGACACCAGATGCTCCATCACAGGGTATTGTGTCTATCTCGGCTCATCCCTCATATCTTGGAAGAGCAAGAAACAAACAATTGTTTCTCGTTCTTCTTGCGAGGCAGAGTACCGCGCTCTTGCTTACACCTCTTGCAAAGTCCAGTGGCTACTCTACTTGCTCCAGGACTTCCGCATTCCCCATCCCCAACCAGTCAACCTCTATTGCGACAACCAGTCAGCAATTTACATTGGCCAGAACCCGACATTTCACGAACGGACGAAGCACATTGAGCTCGACTGCCACTTCGTCCGCGACAAACTCTAGGCCAGAATCATCAAGCTCCTTCACATCTCCTCAATTCACCAGCTTGCCAACCTGTTCACTAAACCGCTTCCGCCAGCGACTTTCTCCTTACTACTCTCCAAGCTCGGTGTCCACGAGTTGTGTCCTCCAGCTTGCGGGGGGTATCAGGGGATAATTCGACAAATTTGAATTTCCCCCTTGAAGATCAGACACAAGGAAGGAGGAAATGGAGTGACGTCGTTTCTAACACAGCCTGAAGACTCGGCTGGAACGACAGCGTTCAACTGGAACGACAAACTTCACTTTTAGTCCCAATGTTACATTTTTAC